TTATGCTGAGGTCTGCATAACCAGCGATGACAGGCCATTGAACCATCTAAATATTAAAGCATCCCAGCACCGGTTCCGCTAGATTTCAAATAGCACTCTGCCATGAAAAACCATTTGGCAGTAAGAAAAAGTTGTACACCATGTGCGAACAGTTCAATGGGTGAAATCGCTTGTGATTGATCGCCGCTGTATGCGACCATTTTAAAAGCGAATAGCTATGTGCATCTTCGAGCACAGCACGTCAATATGACACGACACCAAACCCGCAGAGACAAAATGTGTGGTCCACAAACGCTGTGGGCGAAAGCACCGAAAACAACACGATTTTTTGCGACTTGTTTCACCATACATTAGAGTAGAAAAGTTCCAGCTCAGGTTATTCGTGGAATTGACATTTCATTTCTAACACAACTTATCACAATTTTTTTAGTATTTTACGGTTTTTTTAGTCCCTGAAATTTTATTTTTAACTGACATTTTTAAAGTTTTCAAAAATTTTTTACCAGTATTTTCTTCCCCTACAGTATGCACTGTGATTGTCTCGAATCCCGACCAATCATGCTGGGTCAAGCATTGCGACAGCGTCGTAAATCTGCTATCTCTTGATGATCTCTTCTGGTGAATTGGATTTAAGGCTATGCGATATTAAATCGATAAAGCTTTTGGAATTGAAGTCGTATCGAAGCTAAACAGCAGTGAAATAGCTGTTGGGAGTTATCAAAGGAGATGGTATCTGGAAGCGTATTGTTAATGCTGAACTAGCGTCGGCAATGAAAAATGTCAAACAGTGCTAAAGTTTTATAAGAAGAGTGGAATGGAAGAATATAACTATTTTTAAAGACGATGTTTTAGAGGAGTATACTCTGTGGTACAACAATTCCTCAAATTGTAGTAAAGTTAGCCTCATGTATTTTCTGGTTGTCTTGCCGTTGGACCAATATCTGTTTACTACACTCAAGTGTTCCTTCTCCATCAGCTTCTCATCTAATGTTGATCGCTTGCAAGCATGCTATGAAAAATATTCGATGAGCGATAAGGACTTGTGCGGGGTGATTAACGAGTGCTTCCAGTTCTACAGAAAATGCGTGATTAAGGGCACTGCGTGATTAACGTCGTTTCCGCTTTGTGTGTTGTTTGTCAAAGGGTTTAGAAAGCCTACACATAACAGATGACAGCTCTATGTACAGATATTTCCTATTATGCGATGTATAAGTGCACCTCACTCAGAATAGCTAAATTGGCCTATATAATGGGGGGATTGAAACAAGAAAGGAAGAGCTGCAACACAAACCAGACAAAAGGATGAGGGTTAGCATGTTCGACGTCGACCAGTTCCTTAGGGATGTCCCATTCATTCAACTTCTTCCACATTGTGAGAGGTGATTGAATATGGTTGATGGCGTATTTGGTGTATCAGTGACTTATAGTCGCCTACCCATGAAAATGAGTGCTTCTAACTTCCCAGGTTAGGTTGGTGCCAGTTTGCTATATGCTGGAGTGAACCAAGCACTACTTGTGTATTGTAGGTCACCTCTGACTACTGCGCTATACTCGTCGTGCACACTAAATATGTAATGAAGGCTTTTTGTTTCAGTACAACAATAGTGTATAAAGGGTAAAAACGAAATGGTATAAGGTGAGAAAGTCTACAAGCAACCCGGGTACGATGCGCCATTGGGTTCTTGGTACATTTTGAATTGCAAGCGTTGTAGTTAGATGAAAGAAGGATCACTAAAAACCAACGCAGATCAAGCCTGATAAAAACTTACTAGCCTTAAATTTGTACGTTGTTTACAAACCAAGACAAAAAATTTTTCAGATCTTTAGATGAATTTTCCACTATTTGCTCAGGAATAAAAATGATGCGCAATTGAACTGCATCGCAGAACAATGGTTCAGCTTGAATTGACTTTGCTTGAAGCGCTTTTTTCAGGAAGAATATCTACCTACATGAGATTTGACATTCTTTTAACCATCGCTCTGCGTTTCAGACAAGAAATACTTCACCGCGTTTTTGCCTGAATTTATTGAATTCTGTACTTGGCGTGTTGGTTTCACGGGTTGAATTTACTGTATTCTTGGTAGGCAAACAAGAGGCTGTTACTCCTTAATTGAAGCTACATTTCTATTGTGAACTTGCACATGTGAAATACTCAGTGGAAAACTCATGGCAAGCGGTGACTCTTTAAAGAAGTTATTTTGATTTTAATGGAGTTAGAATCATGGTATAGGGTTTTCTCCGTTCAGCTGTTGGAGGTGTTCGCCTGGGTTCATTAAAGTTAGCCTGACCTACCCAGGCTCTGAAGCGGGCGAAATCCGCCGGAACCTCGGAATGTGCATTAAAAGAGAAGATAGTAAAAAGCCCGTGTTTGCCCATCAAGAATACAAAGAATTATTTGATTACATTAGGTTCCTAGTAACGACTTTTTCATCGACGGTTTAAACATCGGATCCTTCACTGATGAACACACCAAAGAACACCAGCGTGAAAGTGCACGGTTCAAATACAAAACTAATTTTCCACCGCTTAATCCGAGGCTACCCGACATTTTTTTTCTGTTGGGATGGAAGAGAAAGCGTGATTTAGATGTGACGAGCACCATTTTGTTGAAGGGAATCAAGTCGTCCAATATTCGTTTTTAGAGAAAATGTTGTGCTGCCTTACTTGTTCAGATTACAAACCGTTGTCGAGTGATTAAATGGAGTAAACTGTGGATAATTTGAATACGATTGCGTTTCCAATTGACTAAAACAGCGAGGAATTGGACGAGAGGTCAATAAAATATTTTGGTGGCAATCCACAATGTTGAATTTTTATTTACTGCATTTACAATTTTTCACATTAGGGTATTATTTGTGAAACAACCACAGTGATGCTGAGATATTTGCAAATATCCGGACCGTAGGTGTCTGCAGTGGGGAACGAACGCACTATTCCCCTTTCCGGGGGCTAACGCGTTTACCACCGCACCATGCAGGTCTTTCGTTTCGCCTGTCTCTCAGCTAGTTCTATCCTTAGCTTAACTGGGTTCAATGCCGATTTGGGCGCTCCGGATCAATCCCGCTGACGGGTGATTGCTGTGGCAAAGATCGATAGAAATAGCTGAGAGACAGGCGAAACGAAGAACCCTCATGGTGTGGTGATGAACGCGTTACTCCCCGAAAGGGATAATAGCGCGTTCGTTTCCCACCATAGACATCTGTGGTCCGGAGTTTTGCAAATATCTCAGCGTCCTTGTGGTTTTGGTTGCGTTGAGAAATCGCTACGTTTTGTTGTTTAGTGCTCCCATAAACAACATTATCTAGCCTTTCTTTGGGGCTTGTTTAGCGCAGAGGTCGGAGCAACCCTCCAGTACACATGGGATCGATCCTGCGCCCTAAGTTCTCTCCGAAGGTTCCGACTCTCCGTCCCTCCCGGGTCTGCTAATTAGTACCAAACGTAAACTAGGAGGATAGCAGCACGGGCGATACGCATCAATAATCTACCGCGAGTCATTGTAGTGGCCAGGTATGCATTTAATCGCCTCCAACGATGCCTAATGAAGTAAATGCATGACGCATTCTTCAGGAATTGATCAACGTGTAGAGCTTTATCCTTTCCATTACCTTGCTTTTAGGCACGCGTGTAGCGCAGTGGTGGTCTACAATGCGAGCCTAGTCTTTGATTCGATCACGCTTCCGGTGCTCGCCAAACCCTCCATCCCTTCGGAGTCGGCAAATTGGTAGGAGAGGATCCTGCGAGGATAGCAGCACTGATTTCATGCATCAGTAGGCTACCACGAGTCATGGCAATGGTCAGATATACATTTGATCGCCTCCAATGATGCTTAATGAAGTCGAGTGCATGTTGCATCCCTCAGAGATTGATCAACGCCAATAGCTTTATACTTTATTTTCCTTTGTCTGGGTTTTTTATGGTTTTCCACACGTTCACAGCGTTTTAGGACATTTGACTTGTAATCACAATCTTAAGCATATGTATATTATTCAAGAAATTTTACTTACAAATCACACTTCCTCACAGATGCAAAAGCTATGACAGTATTTAAAACTTGCGACTTCATGCTTGAAAACGCAGTCTAATCTAATCACAGTTTAATCAAAGGCACTCCTAGCCACGTCCTCGCGAACGGCAACACGACTGCTAACGACGCGGAAACAGCAGCGTCATTCGGCCGGAACAAGGTCGACAGGCAATGTGCACGACGCTTCGACAGACAGTGTGCATGGGACTAAGTTTAGAAAACTACAAAGTATAAATACCATAATGCTGAGATATTTGCAAAACTCTGGACCGCAGGTGTCTATGGTGGGGAACGAACGCGCTATTGTCCTTTCCGGGTAGTAACGCGTTCACTACCACACCATGCGGGTCCTTCGTTTCGCCTGTCTCTCAGCAAGTTCTATCGATCTTTTGCCATCAGCAATCACCCGTCAACGGGATTAATCTGGAGAGCCCAAATCGGCATTGAACTCAGTTAAGCTGAGGCTATAATTATAATCACAATCTTAACCTTTTTATTTACTGGCTATTCTTTTTAACGGCAAGGTATTTTGCGAAATACAACTATTATAATGACTTATACTATATGCTGCCAAGTTAATACTTATACGGCATTTCTAATGAAAGTTCAGTTTTAATTCACGCACTGTCATCATCACCGACATTTTTCTCTTTGACAGACGTCGTTTCTTTCAATGTTATTCGAAAGTCATACAATGCTTTCGGGCCTTCTTATTCCTTCATGTTGCTCTATATACCCAATTCAATAGTCGATCTGTGTTCATAGGGCAGATTATGTTTCAATGCGTGTACTGCTATCATTTCCGATACTTTTGCTTAGTGCTCACACCTTATCGGTTTTTATAACAAAAGAGGCGTTTCCAAAATCAAGTACTTAAACTGCGACAAATCTTATTCTGACCATCACTTAGCTTTCCCTTCCATAGTTGATTACATTCTTAACGCTTGAATTTGCTGTCACTAAATTTCAGATAAGATGGAAGTTCTCATGTGGACATTCTTCCTCGTTCTTCTATGCTGCGGGAAATCTCAGTGAGTTAGATGGCGCATATGACAAAATCGTTCAGCAAAACGTCATATTAAACATTGCTTAGTCGATTTTAACTTCTAACGTTTTTTTAAAGAATTTATCAAATGCAACTTTTCAGGGACACCGAAGACACTGAGTTATTCAAAACTCCGGAAGGAGACCTTCATGTTGTCTTAGTAGCTGGTTCAAATGGATGGTGGAACTATCGTCACCAGGTGCGTGCGCGCCTTCTATAGTTGGTAAAAAATCGCAAGAAGAGGAAAGTGTGGGAATAAAAAAATAAGAGTACACGAAAATATTTCCACATTCTTCATTTTATTGTAAGGCCCTGAATAAATGACATAAGTAGTGAATGAGTAATCAAAAAGGGAGGGTTGTATCATCCTCAAACTAGAAGAGCTACGGTGGAATATTTAGGCTGACGTCGCTCACGCCTATCAATTGTTGAGAAGAAATGGAGTTCCCGAGGAAAAAATCATAGTGATGATGTACGACGACGTTGCCTGCTATCCAGAGTGAGTGGCGGTCGCACTAGCAAACTGCTTTTATTGATTGAGCGCAGTTATGTATGCACTGAATTTTGGTCTTGAGGCGACCTAAGACATTTTTTTATTATCACCTTAGCTAATACCTCTATTTCTATTATAGAGGGTGCTTATAGCGCAGTGGTTACAGGCGCCGTGTAATGGTATTGACCCATGTCCCAGACTCACTAAGGCTTCCTTCTTTCTGAGGTCTACAAATCGGTAAAAGACTTGTCTGAGAGGAGAGCGGGATTGACGCTATTCCTGGGCAAGCCACCGTTTGTCACAGTATAAACCAGACATCCATTCAGTCAGTTCTCGCGAAACACAGTGAAGTCGAAAACATGGCGCATCCCTCAGAGATTGATCAACGCCGAGAGCTTTATCGTTTTTTTATTGTTATTATAATTCCCAACGGTTTACTGCTTCATTGTGGCTGGGAAGTGTTATTGGGTGTCAAGCTGCGATGCGCAGCAGAGAGATTCATCCCCTGGTAGGGTGTACCAAGTTTAGAAGGATTTCGGCATTTCCATCAGGAAGCCTAGCTAGTAGTGAACCAATATCAGGAACCACCACTGCCCTGGTGTCAAATTAGTACTAGTCGCATGGTGGCAAATCTCCCTCTGATCCACAAGAGCTGCGACTGCCTGTGGTGGTGTTGACGACCTAGGGCAGACTTTGGCCTAGCTGACCGCGGGACTCAGGGGAACCACAGTGGATAAAGCAGCAAATCTCCGAAAAAGTGGAGATCATGCTGGGGGCCACACATTCAGTGAGGACAGGCCATCCAAAGATTCACGTAAGTATTATAAAATAAGAAACAAAGCTGTGAAAAACTCATTGAAGTATCAGTGCCGAAACCATTTTTAGAAAAGTTTTCCTACCAAAAATCCGGATTCACTTCGAAATGTTTGGTAGTATAAGTGATTTTTTAGAGTTTCCAAACCATATTTTTCAGCAATCCGTATCGCGGAAAGCTTTTCAATCGTCCAGACGGTAAAGATGTTTACGCAGGATTGAAGATTGACTACTACGTACTGTAACCTACAACCGCATCTTCGTAAAACTTTTTTAAATTTTGCGGCAAGGACGAGCTTATGCTATCTAATACAATCTCGATCTGAAGCATAAGGATTTTTCTTACTCCACCCAAAGGATTCTCTTATTGTAGGGCTCATCAGTTACGCCCCAAAACTTTTTAAGCGTTCTCCAAGGGAATGCGGAAAATGTAACAGGTGGCAGTGGGCGCGTCATTAACAGGTGAGGGTTTTGGTGGAAATTGGCACACTGCAGACGATTGATGATGTTGGTGAATTCAGCAAACCTGATGACCGAATCTTCGTCTATTTCACTGATCACGGTGGCTATGGTCTAATTGCGTTCCCAGACGATGTGGTAAGACACTTATAAAATCTTCCTTGCAACTTAACTAGGTGACTTAGCATTGATCAGTATTGCATAAGTGAATGTCGCTTATGCTACAGATTATAATTTCAGCTCACGGTAGAGGACTTGAACACGGCATTAATTGATATGCATAAAAGGAAACGTTATGGCCACTTTGTATTCTATATGGAGGCGTGCGAAAGTGGTTCAATGTTTCAGGCAGTGTTAAAGAAAGACTTGAAAAGTTAGTTGTAAGCATTTGTTGTGCTCATGGAGCTCTAGTGTTCCTTCATAGTTCTGATGCGTTCCTGCAAGGTGGGCTCGCTTCTGATTGGTCATCGCTGCAATCCACCGGTAAGAACAGGCAATAGAGACACATGTCGTCGAGCGCTAGATACGAAGGACGATGAACAGCCGGCGCCGGAGCAGTACGTGGTCTGAAGATCTACCGCAGACGGAGACTATCCCAATTTATGCGCACTTTCGTGATTTGTTTCGTTGAAATCAGTAACAGGAAAATAATTTTGTTTAGACTCTTCACAAAATCGATGGTTTACAGCGAATATTAAAATTACCCATTGATCAATAATTGTTTTCCATTTGAGTATATGCGGTTACTGCTGCGGATGCGCTTGAGTCGTCCTGGGGTACGTATTGCGACAACGACATGGACCTGCCATGTCTTGGCGACCTCTTCTCCGTGAATTGGATGCAGGACACCGAACGGGTACAATTCTATTCCATTCATTTCTCAGACTGTTGCATTATAATGTTTGAAGCTTCAAAGCTTTCATCCAGCGATTATGACAAGAGAATAGTGGAATAATGGTAAAGACTTTATTGAAAGCAAAGAAATAACCCTTTTGTGGTGATGGGAAGTTCTAAGGTGACTAATCAAGCACAATGATGATTACAGCAGCAACCCATAACCTGTAACCTTGAGAAAACGGGACGCGCCTTGGAATAAACGTCATTGAGAGCCGAACAAATAGCCAAGCAAAAACAGTTGCGGGTGAGGCCCATATCTCTTAACAGAAACACTTGAGAGAAGCTGTAACACTCTTTGACTACCTAAAACTCTATGCAGTGAGAATTTTCGAATTTCTTTGGCACATAGCGAATGCAAACGGTGTTGATCCAAAGAGTCAGTTGATGTTCAATTGGACGACAAGTGCTTCAGTTTTAATAATGTTAAACTGGGATCAGCATTCAAACGTTTCACCTGAATTAAAAGAACAAAAGAGGTAACGTGAAAAAAGAAAATGACACTGTAGAAAAAGGCGAGCAAGTAGATATGTCCTAGGTTAAACGCATACTGAAAATATAACAAGCTGAGGCTCAAATAAGAAATAGCAAAGGATAAAACTTTCGGTGTTAGTCAGCCCCTGAGAGATTCGCCATGCATTCGACTTCACAAAGCATCGTTTGGAGGTGATTGAATGCATATCTGGTCTTTACAGTAACTCATGGTGGCCTACCGATAAATCGAGCCAGTGCTGCTGTCCTTCCAGACAGGTCTGGTACCAATTTGCCGACCCCGGAGGGATGGAAAGCTTGGTGGCCCATGGGCGCGGGGATTGATCCCATGTGTGTGTTGCAAGGCGCCTACGCTGCAGGCGCCGTTGTTTTTCATGTATGTTATGTATGCAGTACATCAACAAGAAGCAACTCTAGTTGCCCAACAGGTGTCTCGTTATTTTCGCGAACCTTAGCAAATGTTGAACGTGGGCGAATCTCTCATAACCACCTTCTAGTCTCGTCGTAGCATCCCTAATAACAAATGTCTTCGTCAGTGATATGTTCTAATTTTTCAATTTCTTGAAAACTTTGGGGATTTTTGAGAAAAACGAATTATGCCAGACATCAGAGTAAGTCGATGAACAAACGAAAATTTAAATGCCAATACCCAAGACCGACTTTTTGTTAACCTCGGCATTAATTGGTAATTCAATGTTTTTCTTCAATAAGCAGACACGAGGTTGTTAATATAGAATTTATTAGAATACAATAGCTGACGTTTCGGCGGTTTCGCCTTCTTCAGCGCCTGGAAAGGTCAAATTGAAATGTGATCTACTCGGCCAAACACTTTCACAACCCCAGCAGATAAAACTTGACGAAACGATTTGCATTCGCATAAGAAACAGCTTCATTCAAACACCTACCGTTTATTTGTTGTAAGTATTTAAGTTAGTTGATGGATAGCAGCCGCACTCTAAGACGCCAGCTAGTTCGCAACCGCCTATACGACCGTCTATGTACAACAAAAAACTGCATAATTTGCCCAAATGGTAGAGACGGTGATTGCATGAGTTCGGGTACAGTTTATCTGATCTCTTGTATAGCATGCGGGCACGAATATGTTGGCGAAACGGGGTAGACCGCTCTGCGTCCGTATAAAAGAACACCTAGTCGGTAAATCTAAATTAAAACAAAATACCCCACCAGGCGCGCATAGAATGCAGGAACACAACGGAGATGATTTTGAGGTAGGGGTCACTATCCTCACGCAGGAATCGAAAACATCAGCGCGTAAAACTCTTGAAGCGTTTTGGATCAATGCCAAAAATTCAAAGATGAACCGCAAGGAGGGGTGTCTTGTCATCACGCGTGACCCGGCGCCATACCTCAGGCTAATCCAATGACCTGACACAGACACAGTTATCGACCATGTATTACTCTGTGCGGCGGCTATCCACCAACTAACTTAAATACTTACAACAAATAAACGGTAGGTGTTTGAATGAAGCTGTTTCTTATGCGAATGCAAATCGATTTGCCAAGTTTTATCTGCTGGGGTTATGAAAGTGTTTGGCCGAGTAGGTCACATCTCAATTTGACCTTTCCAGGCTCTGAAGAAGGCGAAGCCGCCGAAACGTCAGCTATTGTATTCTAACAAATTCTATCGTGTCTGCTTATTGAAGAAAAACTTTAAATGCCAATAATAACTTTTGTTTTCAGCATAACATTAATAAGGAGACACTTCAAAAGCAATTCAAAAATGTGAAAGCGCTGACGAATCTATCACATGTGATGCATTACGGTGATCTAAGACTAGCAGGAGAGCCTATTAGCTGGTTTGAAGGAGGCAGCAAGAAGAAGACGACCACGCCAATGTTCTCGAACGCAGACACTTATGAGGTTGGTTAGAAATCAAGCCAAAATGTTGTGTTTCTCTTGCAGTTCTTGATTTACTTTGCCTGCATTGATTTATCGCTATTCAGGAGCAACACCCAAAAGTTTCCTGGCCTTCGAGAGACATTGAACTCATGCATCTACAAAAACTCATGAACACTGCAAAAAATGCACAGGTCTCAAAAACCCTGGAGCGGAAGATCGCTAGAATCCATGAGGTAGAGTTTGGAAAGAAAGTTTTACAACCTGGGCACATTTTCACCTTTTCTTATGTGGAATTTTTCTTATTCACTTCTCAATTGTGGACCGATGTTACTCTTTCCGAATGTCACGTGTTATCCGCCGCATTATCGAGGCTCTTGCTTTGCCTTTCTTTAGGGCATTTGAATCCCAGAAACAGTAATCACGGTTACAGATTTAGCCTGAGATCTAAGTTTTCCAAATATCTCACCATCATTGCAGTCACATGACAAATTTTTTGCGCTTACCTTTCTTATGTGGACTGAACAAGAGAAATATTTTTTGTTCAACTACACAATTTAGGACAGGCGCAACATTGAAGCTCTGTTCAACAGTCTCGTCGCCAATCTTTTAGCAAGCGCCAACGACAGGTACAGTTATTATGCTCGATTAGAACGAAAATGTTCCGAACACATCTACTCTGCGCGGTAGTTTTAAACAGCATACGACAGTATGCATCGATGTCAACGTACACCCCTCTGGTGATTGGAAAAAATGCAACCAATTGTTATCCTACCGAACGCCATTGTTCCAGGCGTTTCTTATGAAAAGACTTTACCGCACCTAATTCAAAAGGGTAGACCCGAGTTGAGAAGGGAAACTGGCAACTGGAAGCAGAGAGCAGTTGTTTGCACTGGAAATGAGTCTCTTTTTCAAACGCAAAAGTTAGAAATAATGGTCAGGTCCGTGGGAAACATCAAGAATACGTAGAACACAAAATTATACAAAAATACAACCACCATCATGGTGAGATGTTTGCAAAACTAGGACCCCGGGCCAGATTCGAACCCACAATTACTATTTTCAAAGGCATCACCTATTACCCATTGCACCAGTGAGGCTCTCGCTTTGGCTTTCTCTTCACAATATTCTTACCCTAATGGTGCTACCAACAATTACAATAAGCAGAAATATTTCTCTGGTTGAAACATTGCACATCTAGGAAGAAAATGGTCGAAGAACGTAGTGCTATCGAGGATCTGAAGTGCCACAACGATGTTGTAAAGGAGTTCGACTCGACTTGCATCGACGTGAATAAGGTAATAGTTTTTAATAGCCAAAATATGACAAGTATTAGTGCTAGGCTAATGAATAGTTGAATTAAAAAAAATGGGCTCGGAGAGAGTAAACTTATTCTTGATAAAATTATGCCAGCCGTCTTTGAGAACGTAATGCAACTACTCTGGCATACTTCCAGACTCAACGCACACGTGAAAAATAATAATCACTCAGCGATATCGAATGCTCCACCAAACCAGAAATGGCAAAGTTAAGATAGCCGACCAGTGGACGACCATTTTAGTACTGGTACCTAACGGGGATTAAGCTTTAACATTAGGAACTTTCGCATGATCGCAGACGATAATCTCGTTCTCTACATGCTACACAGCTGGTCAAAAAGAAGCTGACTAGGCGAAAGATTTTTTCTGCGATTTTTTAAAAAATTTTGACACTCTTGCCACTTCACCTGATAGCTATACAAAGTGCAGACAGTGCTACGCTCCACTGCTCTTCATTACTCTCAATTATGTCGCGTTTTCACCTTTATCGTTAAATAGCCCGAGTCGGATTCTGTGAAACCTATATATGAATCTGCTGCTTGCAAGGGTAGTAGCTCACTGGGTTCTGGCCGCACTAGGGTCATTCAGAGAATGGAATTTCTTCAATGGCGTTTTTCTGAAGAAATGTGATTACTGTATTTGTGAACTATCCCCACGTGCTTGTCACCATGGTGGCTGGTTCTCTACACTGCTCTACTAATGGCTCTCACACAAAGCTTATCGTTAAGACCCACCTTGTTTTTTGATATCTTTGCTGTTATTATTACCTTTGATCGCTGGTCTAGGTACGGCTTTAGATTTCCTTCTTCATTTACGCGAAGGGTATTCTTAACTCTAACATTTCCCGCTTTGATGGCGCATTCGATATTGCTGGGTGACTTTCCATCATTCTTTCTTAGAGACCAAACTTTCGCCGTGTATGTTAAGCCATGGAGTATCTCAAAATAGAATTGGTGGGCGCAGAGACAGGTGCCAATTCCTCCTCACGACATTCTCAATGTATGTGAAAGCTCCCCAGCTGCTCGCTTCCTCCTAAAAAACTGTGCAGCTGAATCGTTTGGCATGTTGGCTTCTTGATCTAGTTATCCATAGTTGTAGCTCTGGAGACATACTTTTAAGGATGGAGCAAATAAGTACGGATGTCACCAGGTCCTAAAGCGGCAGTCGAACCCAGGTACAAAACTCCCTTTCTTCAAGGGAATTTTGTAAGACAATGGAATAAACTGAATGTCACGTACCCCATATGTGAATGTCACCCCATATGGTATACGACGAGGGTTTAGGCATACAAATAATTGTAACCGACGGTCAGGTGGAAAGCAAACTGTCCACTTCGTCTGTTTTTGACTTGTAATTCATCACATCAGTTTGTTTTTCCAGTTACATGGTTATGGGAAATGTGCTATTGAGTGGCCATTCCTGAAACCATTGATGAACGAGACTTCTCCATGTTCAAGGAACTGTCCTAATTCTTCGACATGAAGTCTCATTTCTTAAGCAAACCAATTAAAATAGGCAGACATTTGAATTAAGGCAGTATATTTTTTTTCCTTTTCCTACGGCTATGAACGACTTTCTATGTTGATTTCAGTTCGACTACGCGCTGAAGTACATCTATGTGCTAAACAATCTGTGCGTGAAAGTGGGCGATTCGAAAAGGATCATCGACGCAATGCACAAGACTTGCTCAACGATTGGTCGACAGTACCTATGAACGTATCGCTTCCTATCGCTCGCCCACTTGACATGAGTGGCTTGAATAAATTTGAAGTTCAAAGGATTTGATGGTCTCTTTAATGGTTTTTTACTCACCAGAAGGAACAAGAGAAATTACGTAAAAAGCGCTGTTTACCGAACAGAAGAGTTTGAACTCTATGCACAAATGAACAGGCGGAAGAACCTAAAAGCGCAGTTTAAGTTCTAGAATTTAAAAAAAACTTCCACCGGGAACGTACGTGGCGAGTGCCCAGAAGCACCTTTCGGTCATCAACTTCATGCAATCCCTTTTAATAAAGTAGTTTCTTTGATTCAGAAGATTAGAAACCGGTAGTTATTTCGTCTAATGCAAGGTTACTTTCGCTGGGATAATAACCTGCTTCGTAGAAACCACTCACTTATTGTATATAGATTTATACTGTACTACAAGCTTCACGCAATGAGAAGAATTTATTTCGGAGCGTAGGCGTTCCAAAGCCCGGTAGAGGTTTTACGGCTCCCGCAAAAAATATCCTCTTATCTAACCACATTACGTGTATTGCTCTGCTAGATGTGAAAAATTTTTGAGCTGTTGGAAGCTTCGAGGAAAAGGAACGTCGATTTGAGTCTATTTAGATATGAATGCGTCGTTTTCTTGCTCAGCAATCGCAAGGTTTTTAAATAGCATACATTTACTTCCATAGAGAAACACAATACATTACATTAGCTGACGTTTCGGCAGTATCGCCTTCCAGTTATCAATGCCAGTCATCAACCATATGCGACTATAATCAGCTCCGACTCCGACTCCGAAGAAGGCGATGGCACCGAAACGTCGGCAACCGAATAACGACAACTAGAGCAACTGATACCTACCTCAGGTTGGCTCAACAAGAGCAGTTCGTAGGAATATCTTTTCACAGTCGCGTAAAAAGTGGTGTTTTTCGAGAAGCTGTTGATCATGTGATTACCATAGAGTTTTTCGACTTTCTGGAAGTGTTATTGAAGCGTTTGGCCTAGTAGATTGTATATCAGTATGCCATTCCAGGCTCTGAAAAGAGCGATTCTGCCGAAACGTCAGCTAGCGTTGTATTGTATTGTGTTTCTTTATGGAAGTAAATGTATGCTGTTTAAAAACCTCGCGATTGCTGAACAAGAAAACGACACGTTCATATTCCAATGCCGAGGTTAATAGAAAGTCGATCCTGGGACCTATTTAGATAATCGGTCTTCATGAAGACGTTCTTCTTATATTGGGACCGGCAAGCTTGCCTATAACTTCTTTAGCCATGATACCTGAGAGTTGACAGTGTAGATTTTCAAAATTTCTCCGAGTGGCCAACCAGATTGTTTTTATCCCACTGAAATCGTCTCGATCCGCCCGTGAAGTGGGTACAAAGATACAATCAGGTTCCTCCGACTTCTTTGTATTCCCACTATAGAGCACTTGATGGTTAACACTGCTTGAGATTTCGTCTGTACATCTACCTTTTTCGGTGGGGGGAAAGGAGGTGGGTATGGCTCAGTGGTTATCACCCTGCCATGCACATGGGATCGATCTCACGACGCAGATGAGCCAGAAGGCCACGGCTTGTGATTGTTTAATCCAGATATGAATTCAATCATCTTTAATGGTGTTTAATGAAGATGAATGCACGCAGCATCTCTCAGAGATTGAACAACGCTAAAAGCGAAATACAACCACAACGGTGCTGAGATATTTGCAAAACTCCGGACCTCAGGTGTCTATGGTGGGGAACGAACGCACTATTGTCCTTTTCGAGGAGTAACGCGTTCACCACCACACCATGCGGGTCCTTCGTTTCACCTGTCTCTCAGCTATTTCTATCGATCTTTTTGCCACAGCAATCACTCGTCAGCGAGGTTGATCTGGGGAGCCCAAATCGGCATAGAACACAGTTAAAAAAATAAGACTGCTATTTTGATGGGAGGGGCACATTATGCTTAAATGTAATTTCTGTGCGGTTGGTCTCTACGTGACATACTTAGTGGAAACCTCATAAAAAGTGGTGAGTGTGCAAAGCTGTGTTCAATGTGATTGAAATCTTGGTTTAGGGTTTCTTTGTTTGGTTATGGAGGCGTCTGGCCGAGTGGATTGCTGTCAGCTTGACCTTTCCAGGCTCTGAGGAAGGCGGAATCCGCCGAAACGTCAGCTTAATCGTGAACAGAGAATAATAACACCTCGCGTTTGCTCAACAAAAATACGAAGAAAATTTTAAATCATCTCTGTCAAAATGTTCCTCACGCACCACTACCGATGGCCTCTATCCACCGTGATGAGCGCATTGGCGTTTTTTTTGTGTTTCCCAGCCATTCGAAATGTTATCACTACCTGCTGCAATCACTGAATTCCACTACAAATGCACGTTACTATCATAATTCTCACACCGTGATGTATGATATAGATACATCGCCAGAGATCAGCACAGTGTTTGAGAACAAACGGTAAGTTTCCGTGACGTCCACATTACTGCCTTCCAACACGATCAAGTGGTTGACTACACACAAGGACCGATATCGTAATCCTGTTTACTTTTCAAGCGCTTGAAATTTCCTCCGTTGCCATCAACTCAAGAAGAAACAAGGCTTAATAAAGCTTCTAAAAAACACTTGATCTTTCCTATTCAGTGTTGGCTCACCGATTAGAACCTTTTTCCAACATTTTTCTTCATTTACAGAAACAAGTCCTGCGAATTTCAGCTCGTTATTCGTAACAGATAGTCGATAACAAATTCTGAAGCTTTCAATTCGGATGTCATTTATGTTTCCGACCTTTTCGTCTGCCATAAGGAGCCTCTCATATTTTAACAACGAAAATGACAAAAATTTGGCATTACCCAAGAATAACAGTGAAGTGGTGTATTTACAACAACATTAGTAAACTTAACAATTTACAGCTCATAATTTACACAATTTACACTTACAATTTTTTCAACTTGTGTTACTACATTATGTTACTTTTTCACGGATCTCTCTCATACGAGGGATCTCGAGCCGGTTAGTGGCGAAACTACGTGGCTCGCCAACTGGTGGCGGATAGGGAGTTAACCGCGGACCAGAAGTGACCTTTTGTTCCTTAAGGCGTAGATGGATCCAGTAGATTGATTCCGTGCTTCTGCTGCGCCGATCTGCCCAATATTCTCTGTATTAACAAAGGTGTATTCATTTATGCGATCGTGGGTGTGTTCTCGTTTATGCGGATTTCATTCTACAAGTCAATTCGGTCAAAAGCCTGCAATCAAGTGACAGTGAAGTGTATGTATATTATAGTATATTATATCGAACATAAACTTGTAGTACATTGTCCAAAGCTCTCCACTCAACAACTTTGGTGCCTTAGCCATATCGGAGCAATTTTCAGTGCTTAGGTGTTACCTCTATAAAACATTCAGGAACAATTATTAATGTAGAAAAAACCCAATTCAGCAAGAACCAATGAAAACAACAATTCTTTTCAAAATGCAAAAAGAAGTTTGGAAACAATTTGCAGACCCCAGAGGGATGCGAAGGCTTGGTGGGCTTGTGGCGCGGTAATCGATCCCTTGCGTATAGCAGGGCCCCACAGACCATTGCGCCGCAGCGCCCATGAAAGCAAATAGATGTGACAAATGCGAGATTCATAACATTTAAACAAAGGATTATGCATTGATTCAGGCAAAGAAAAAACTGCTGGAAATAGTCCAGAACATAATCGTTTTGGAAAAATGCAATCGAGAATTATGCTATTTCGTTGCTTCGCTATCAACCCCGATGCTGTTGAGGAAGAATAAAATATTTGAAATTTCAATAGATTTTTATGGACAGAACTAATTCAGCAGCTGCATCTGATTTTCCGTCGAAAGTCTCTTTTTAATGGTGATGTCAATAAATTCCATTAATCCGGATTAAGCTCTGCTCATAAATCGATTTGAAGAATGTTCGATGATGATATATCGACCAGTACGTGGACCAGTCAGTACCAGATCTGCTTTGCAGTCGCATCGGTCGTTGACGGGTACCGAATCATGGAGCCTTTCTACAACTTCCACTTGAAGCTGGAGTGGAGCAGTGGAAAATCCTTCGGTGGTGACAGATAAGAAGTACTACATGAACACGACACACAAATTTTCGTACGTCATTGTAACAACGAATAATGCTCCATTTGTGTCTCTCCATAGCATTGTTTATGTCACTGAAGAAGTCATGTCGCTCTGAATGCCGGAAATGGCACCACAAATTGTGTCGCTTCCAGCTCACCTGCAAATTTTCCAGACAATCACGCAACACGCTGGAGGCATGCAGTTATGGATGCAATTGCAGAAACTCTTCAGAAAGTTTTCTTCTGGCTGAATGCTGGAACCGAACTCTTTTTCATGATACAGCTTTGGGAACGAAACTCAATATTTTCGCTACAGAAAACACCCAGTTACGTTAAAACACTTTTGGAACTGATGAAGTTCAACGAAATGCTTCAAATTAAGTTTTGAAAACTATTGAGCGTGAAGGACTGAGAAGCAGAGCAGGGTTCAATCAAACGCTGATAGCGTGTTTTACCACTCATCTCAAAGTGGTTCTATCGGAGCGAACACGATTTATTCCCCTCCAATTTCCTGTAAGTATACAGATGAACAATCACAAAGCACTACTAAGGCTTTGTTCTTTCAACTTTGAAGCTGCTAACATATAAAGCTATTACACAAGGCTTAGTCAGTTAGCTGCAAACTAGCAATTAAGAGGCCATTAATAGACAGTGCAATACAAGATATAGATATTCTGTATATTATGCAAAATAGGACCCACAAACATAACGGGGAGATTTTGAAGTCGAAGTTGCTGTCCTGGTACGGGAATCGAAAACTTTGGCTCGCAATGCTCTGGAAGCATTTTGGATAAATTCCGAGAGTCAGAAAACAAACAGCAGGGGGAAATTCACCATAATCATGCATGATCTCACACAGCATTTCAGACTGATATTTTGATGTGAGAGGCGGATTATTCTTCCATTTTGAACTCTGTAGGGTTCGCATTTCCTCGATATAGTCAGTGGAAGACTTATAGAAAGTGGTGTGTGTGAGAAGAAGCTATTTCGT